TACATTCCATTAGGGAATCCCAAAAAGGGACTATGCGGCCTAAACCCTAAACCCTAAACCCATGGGTAAGGCCCCTCTATTAACTCCCCAATCTCTGCCTCTTCAAAGCCTTCCTTCACTTCCTCCCTAAACCCTAAGCCCTAAACCCTAAACCCTGCCTCTTCAAAGCCTTCCTTCACTTCCTCCCGCAGCGCCACACCGACCAGCTGCTCCGGGGGGCCTCACGGCATCACCGATCTCGGAAGAACTCGGTAGCACTTAAGGTTTACAGGGTTTGGGGTTTAGGGTTTAGGGTTTATAGGGTTTAGGGCTTATAGGGTTTGGGGTTTAGGGTTTAGGGTTTATAGGGTTTGGGGTTTAGGGTTTAGGGCTCATAGGGTTCGGGGTTTTGGGTCTATAGGGTTTGGGGTTTAGGGCTTAAAGCTGAGGGTTTATAGGGTTTGGGAACTAGGGATAGAGGTTGTAACAGGCTTAGCCGTGCCAGGGGTATGCAACAGAAGCTTCTCGCTTGGAAGCGCTGCTCCAGTGCTCAAAAACTCCCTGTCACTGTACCCTAAGGGTCCAAAGGACCCAATAACAGTGTACTCTGGTTGCGGATAGTAATTATCCAGGTCAATATTTGGGAGAGTGTATGATTATTGGGCACTTGGACCCTTAGGGATAAAGACAAACTTGCTGGGAGGGAAGAAAAAACTCTCTGCAAATACACACCATGAATAAATAAACGAACGCATATCAGGCATCATCCCTATGCTGGGATGTGTAAAAACATATATTATATGTAGTATATTAAACATCGCCTCCAAATATACACATCTGTATGTATGCACACTCTGTTTGAGTATATCTATTTACTGTCTGATTTATTGAATGGATTCTTTGCACGCTGGTATTTATCTGTCTGTACTTATGAAGGGAAGCACTGCTTGTTTTCTTTCTTCCTGGTGGGCTTTCCTCTTGGCAGTGACCAGCACTTACTTGGAGAATCGGTTCAGGGTTGGGGAACTTCTTCGTTTTGGTTTTTGGCCTCAGAGCGTGCGGTTAAGGGGCTTCTGGCAGGGCTCCGCAGACAGCTACTCCCCACAGGCAGTTTCAGCCGAAACCGCAAAAAAAAAACAACCCCGTTGGCGCAAACGACAACCCCCTCTACCAGCCCCACACCCTCAAACGAACAAATCCCGGCCTTGGATTATTCAGTATTCCTAAGCACAAACACGATTCCAGAGCTAAACAAAACTCAAAGACGTATCGACCCCATTGACCCCAAGCCCTAGAACAAAAAAAGCAATCCTTCCATCTTAAACCCTAAACCCTTGCGGTATATACCCGTATACAAACCTTAAAGGACCCGCCTTACGGTACCCGTATAGAACCCTTACAGGACCCCTTAAAGGTACTTCTGTGAGGCGCCTTCAGATCTCTCGAGGCTGCCTACGATCTGCGTCAAGTTCTCCATGCCGCGCACCGCCACGTTCCAGGGAGGGGAGTCCTACTTTTGTTTAGGGTTGTTGGGTTTAGGGTTTTGGGATTTAGGGTTTAGGGTTTAGGGTTTCGGGTTTAGGGTTTTGGGTTTGGGATTTAGGGTTTGGGGGTTAGGCTTTAGGGTTTGGGGTTTAGAACCTGCAGCGGCGGTTCTTCGGGGTTGAGATTCAATTAGAAGCTTTGGGGAGGTGATGATTTTGCTTTTGTCCGATAGCTCTTCCAAGGGTTTAGGGCTTCTTTGTTGCTGTCCAGCAACGGTAAGATGTTGCAACTTCATGGTGCTGGCTTGCTGTCATTTTTGAGCCTTGGCGTTAGGGTTTCTGCTGTCCTTTCCGCTAGGGTTTCTTGTGCCGGTGTTTAGGAACCGTAAGGTCTGCGGGGTATAGAAAGAAGTCTGCAACCTCTAAGCATTAAGCCCTTAACTTAATCATAGATCTTCGGTACAGACCCTACATGCAAGGATACCTCCTTGGTTCATCGTAGGGAATGGGGGAAACGGCATATAGGGACTTCCGAAGAACCAGAAAGATAAGGATTCCGGCTCTCAAACAATGAAATCGAAGCACAACCGTAAAAGCCCTAAACACCCTAAATTCAAAACCCCGACCCCAAACCGTAACCCCTGACCCCTAAACCCTAAAACCTAAACTAACCCAAAACGGCGGAGAGCCTCGAAGATGACTCAGCAAGCAATGTTCCTCTAAGCCCTTGCAACCTAAACCCGGCGACTCCGAATTCTGAACTCCCAGTAGGACAAAACCCAAACACCCTATGCTAAACTCAAACCCCTTAGCTCTAAGCCCTAACCCGAAAACTGCCCTGAAGTCCTAAGCCCTAGCGCCCGCGATAAGCAAGATGCTTTCAAGACGTAGCAAGCCCTATAAAAAACCTTATTAGAACAAACAGCTTCATGCTAAAATCTTGCAGTAACGCTTGTAGACGCCCTAAACCCTTGCAACCCTTGCAACCCCAAATCACAAAACCCCCAAACCGTAAACCCCTGAACCCTCAAACATAAATCCCTATAAACCCTAAAATCCCGAAAAAGCTTACACCCTATACCCTAAACTTTCCTGAACCCTAAACCCTAATCCCTAAACCCTAAATCCCGAAAACCCCTAAACCCTAAAACCCTAAAGCCCTAAACTTCAAAACTCCCCCCCCCCAGCCCCAGCAACCCCTCCAGCTCGTTTGCTCGTGGGGCCGAAGCCTGAAAGCAGAGTTTGGGAGTCAATGGGGGCTGTGGTGCATCTGGGGTTTAGGGTTTAGGGTCTAGGGTTTAGGGTTGAGGGTTTAGGGTCTAGGGTTTAGGGTCTAGAGTTTAGGGTTTGGGGGTGTACGTCTACCAGTGGAGATAGATCTGTGTAATATCATCATATACTGTATTATATCACTGGTTTTTTACTAGTATATGTTATATATGCATACACATACATATACATACATACATATACATACATGCATAAGTACATACCTACTTACATACCGAATATGCATACACGTCTACAGTCGTTACATATCTATTCATTGCCACGTATGTTCGAACGGACGCATTTGGTTGCATCTGTATGCGTATATCTAGACATATGTGTACGTGCATGCGTATGTGCACAGTACGTGCGCGCATGTGTGTGTGTGTGTGTGTGTGTGTGTCTGTGTGTGTGTGTAGATGTACGCGTTAATTAATTAGCGTGTCCGTCTGTATACGTAGTCGTATGTGCAAAAGTATATGTATTCGTAGATGCATGCGTATCTGTGTACATATACATGTACACATGTTATGTATGACAGGACAGGACGGGACAGGACAGAGCATGACATTACATTACCCTGCACCACGTCGCACTACTTGCACACTACATTGCACCGTTCCATTTCGTTGCTTTACGATACATTGTCAGGACATGTTACATGACATTACATTACTTGGCAGTACCAGGCATGACACTGCATACAGTTTCCACACTGCGATCATGCTTGTGGCAAGACACTGTAACTATCGTGCCTCTTCTTCCGCCTCCACAATGCGGGAGGGCATCGTAGCCTGTTCGTCGACTGCAGGCAAGCATGGTCAGTCACACCGGCAGGTAGTGATGACGATGATGCTGCTGCTGTAATAGGAAAGTTGGTGCTGGTACGGCAGCCGACTTTGACTGCAATGCTGGTGGTGGCGGTGGTGGTGGTGGTGGTGGAGGTGGTGGTGGTGGTGGTGGCGGTGGCGACGACGGTGACAATACCCAACGTTCTTGCGGCCAAGTCTGCCATTAAACCCGAGGGCCTTGACCTAACAAACGGCCCTGCAAAAAAAGCCCTGAGCCCTGAACCCAATGTGTGAACCCCCCCTAGCCGCCACTAGCCGAAACCATAATCTCCAGAGAGACTACGGGATCCCCCACGCCAATCTGCAGGAATGCGCTCAGAAGTCTTAGTTCGGTTTAGGGCTTAGGGTTTAGGGTTTAGGGTTCTGTCTTCTTTTTTGGCAACGGCCCGGAACACAGGAGTTTCAGAACATGAAGGATACAAAAAAACAAGTTCCCCAAGTCATTGGAAAGGAGCCCAAAGCTCACCCTTAGAGAGAACCCGAAGGGTCCAAAGGACCCAGTCGTAAGGTACTTTGGGTTTAGGGTTTGGGGTTTAGGGTTTAGTGTTGCGGATGGTAGTTATCCAGGTTCATATTTGGGAGAGTGTATGATTA